TTGCAGTTTCACGAATTGGTATTTGCAATTTGCATCAGGATTCAAGTTTGATGAATTGATGTAAACTCAAACCACCAACGAGTGTGAGTCAGTGAGCAACAATTAAGTGCATTACAATAGAATGGAAGTTAAACTAAGAGCAGCGCAATCGTTTAGTTTTCATCGGATGATTTAAACGGATTTAAATCTTGTGTTTAGCAAAAGAACAATATACTGGAGAAAAATCCCACATCTGCTCAGTTACATCACATAGTAGAAACAAACGATTATTTAATCAAAGATTTTTTAGTTCTCACATTATGAACGTTCATTTTTGTGACCCTTTGATTATCCAATGCCGATCAGTTTGTCCCTGTGCTATTGTTGAGTAAAAGAGGGGAAACAGACAACTCGGAAGCATTCAGTTCATCTTTGAGATGAGACAAGGGCGGACTGAGGAAGTTGAACGTAGCTTACTGACATGTGTGGGGTCATTCCAGGGTAAACTGCTCGAGTTGCGCATCATGGACTGTTTCAGGCTGATGAGATTGAGACTGTCAGTCAGTCACATGCGTTCAGCCTTTCGCTGTCCTTTTGTCGCGTGTGTGAGAGACAACAATCCCCTAGTGATCGGGAAAAGACAAAGAGCGGAAACAATGGGAAGTCGGAGAACAGTTTGTTCGAAGATCTTTCATGAGGTGCGAATTTTAGACAGAGCACTCATGGTTAACTACATGCACGGATGTAGCCCAACGTGACCTTAAATTTTTATTTTTAGTCTGGGTAAGTATTTAATCAACCAACCTAAGTGTCAGATTGCGCATAAAGCAACACAACGAAAAAGAAGAAAAAGTTAACTTCCCAAGCAAACCATGGTGCCATAATGTGAAGTGGTTGATCGCATGGTGGCGCATTGTCCGCACAATGAGTATCAAGCGGTTGAGAAGTGCTCGCAGAGCCGAACACGCTCGTCTGTGACGTGAAGAGACTATGTGATGAAAAAACGACTGACATCAAAGGGTATTTATAAAGCGAAAATAGGAGAATGACCTTGAACATTCAGTTTATCGGTGATTCTGAACTATTCGTCCAAATCACTGCTAAATGGGAAACCTAGCAGAGCACTGGATAGTATAATCGTTCTTTTGGACAGCCGTTAACTCCGTATAAACACTGGAACTCTGGTACTCAAACACTGACACAAAAAGCGATGAGGAAGGATATGTTAAATGTCACCGGATACTCATTACTTCTTTAATGCCGAGTTTTTCAACGCGATCTCACGAAGACTGGCTGAGTGATTAACTGTTGGAGAGAAATTAAACAGTTTGGCTTGATCACTTGAAATTCCGTTGATTAGTGGTGAATGATATGCGGTTGCCCTGTGAAATAAGTTCTTACGGCCCAATGGTAAAAGGTAAACCGCATTGGACGTCCAGCACTGACCAAAGTATATTGGGTTGTGCGAATAAATTTGGGTACCGAAAATTTAGGATTACTAATTGTGCACGAAGCGAACAATACAACTTTTCCATACAGTTTTTCGGCATGATAAAGTGGGGACTCCGCGTGATCAATAAGACTTTATAGAAGAATGGTGAAAATGTCTTTTTATTTCCTGTTTTATTTTTTCACCATAAAAATGTGGAATCAAATTTCCGGGAGGAAGCTGACTGGAAAAGCTCAGAAATGGGGAAGATTGACAGTGGTGGAGCAGCTCGAACCCGGGGGATTTTTGGGTCCAGATTTTGTTGACTTTAACCACCACGACCAATCTGACGATTGAAAATAATAAAATAATTCCGGGCAGTTACTTCAGACCGGACATAAAGTTCACCAGTGGTTGTTGCCATTTTAAAATGATGCGTTTCATGGAAGCTATAAAATAATGGAAGTGATTGGTTATGAAACATCGGAGCAAATGATAATTTGGGACCAACTATAATACGAACTGTTGAATTCTTTAATTACTTTCCTCTTTTTCCCGTTTAAATTCTCATTTGTTACTATTCCTATATATTTTGTTATAACAGAACGATTAAGACACACTGATAACGAGCTTGTTTGCCAATTTGTGTTCTCGATAGGAATTTCACTACTACAGAAGGTTAGTACCTTCTGAAAAATTGCAACTAAAGATATTGTTTAATAAAGAACGGAGGAACATAACTTTATCAGTATTCATAAACTGACAAAGAAAACCCACTTTGATTAATCTGTTGAAATAAAATACTCTCAATGATTCTGGGCTCCTACGGGAGTAGATTATAACTTAACAGTTTTAATGCAAATAGCTTTCTCAAACAATTTGCTAATACTAAATTATTTTGAAAAATTGATTTAAAGAGTTTAACGTTCCATTCATGGACCACGATGTGCATACGGATCAAACAATCCCAGTGGATCATCAGTATAGTGTATACCAAATACTGAGATCGTTTAACAAAACGCAGAATGTAAGTTTTCTACTCAGCATCACTACGAGGAAATTCTAACGCCAATTAGTTTGTTCCGGAGGAAAGGTCGGTGATTATTCGAGCAGCGATCTTCATTACTTCAAGAAAGAAAACATCTCCATGGACTCAGTCCAGCAGATTTATTCCACTCATGCATGAAACGAAATACTTTCTTTTGGGTGATTTATCACTTAACGCTTGTTTATCTGGTCGACGACAGTTTCGTTAAACGTCCTCAGTTAAGACGGTGTGGTTATGCACACTAGTGCACACTTCATGTTTGAATGTCGGCGGTGGGAAAATATCACTTCCGCCTGGTTGTGGTTACCGGCAGAAAGTGAAATGACATTGCCAGTTCGAAGTTTGTTTCAAGTGCACGCAACTGGTGTGCACGTCGATGGAGGATGGAGGGAATAAACTGAAACGCACTCTGCGCTGCTCACTTCATTTATCAACTTGGCTCCAACTGGGCGAAACATCAGGAAGCGGTAAATCATGAGACATCGCACGAAGTGGCGTTAAATGTTGGGTGATAAATGTTCACTTGTGTGCTTTACACGTATCCGTTTAGTACCGAATGAGCCGAGTGGTTCAGAAAATATTGCAAGAAGAACTGACAGTTAGAAATATGAAAAACTGAATGTTGGTTTAAGATATGTCAAGGCGAATGTATGTTTATCTAATTTAGAGAATGTGAAAAAATCGACCAAGCCGGTCTGAGCAACACAGCTGACTGAATTGTATCATTTTCTTCTTCTGATTTAAACATATCACATGACATATTTATTATTGTATTTTGCCTTCCTATTGGTGTGCAGCATTAAACAGGCAAATAATTATCTTAGCTGTGTATAGATAGATTATTATTTTCAAGGTGAAACAAAGGAAAATGATTTATTGCGTCAGTGTATTGGTAAAACGGTTGTTAAGTTACCGGTTTAAGTTATATTTGAGTAACTAAGACAACCATGTGATGTTCGACATTGTCACAAAAGGAACACAGACAACGTGGAATATCATGATGATGGGATGATCAGTGAGATCTCATTGGGACTGAAGTAGACACCCAATTGGATCTGGATAAAAAAACTGCTACTAGCTGAGTATGCTACAAATTTTGAAAACTGTGCTTGAAGATCAGCTAAACATCAAACAAGGAATTATCTAGTTCAGTGAACTGGGAACTTGAGAGCAAGGTGCTCAGTGCTGATTGGTATTCGTTCCCAGTACGGCAAAAATACCCATGGGTGTAAAAACATACAAACAGGATGTAATTAGCTTGTCTTAGCTACGATGACCGAAAAACCAAAACATAAGCACGACGCCCAAGTTTTTCAGTGAGATCCGTTCTATCCATGGATCTCGTGTGATTAGACAAACAGGAGGATGCGAAAACAGGCAGAAATGATTTTATCGCAAAAACACTCATCCACTGAATGAAATGTGTACAATATCTTCAGACAACACAATTGATAGTGAAGTGATACCTATTAGAAACGATCTTAAGAGTAGACATCTAACCCAACGAGTCAGTAGGCTTCACCCGGAATTAGATATATACTGGATTTATCCAGTCAAACAATAGGTCGATTGTTTCACATCTCTTGGAATCCAACCACCTGGTTAGTATCACCTAGGCGTTTGGTTCGCTTTACTTGGTTTTCAGTCATCAAGCAAACATGTTTAGAAATCGCGTCTTGATCATACGATCATTCCGGGTGCTCCTAAAAGTTGTTCGCGGGAACATTTGATCTTCCTTGGCCATATTCAACCCCCACCCCAGTGACCCAAATCAATCCATTTGTGAGGTGGCCGAGAAGCAAGTGACGTGCGATCATATTGATTTTCATTTGCTCAGTTTGTAATTACTCAGTACCACGAAAGAACAACTGAATGTAATTTAATTTTAGCAAGTGGATGAATCACTAAAAAACGTATTTGCTGCTGTCTGTTTCTCCTTACAGTCCGTGCTACTTGTATACTTGTATACCGTTGAATGTTCTGGGTTCGTGATGATGTATTGTCAATCCTAGGATTGTGTTGAATCTTATCAAGAAAGAAAGCAATTAGTTGATGAGCATTGCAAAATGTTGATGTTGTTAGGAGTGAGCGGGTGTCAGTGATTTAGCGGTTTTGTTCATAATAACCCACTTGTATGAATATCACACAACCATTTCCCCTCAATCGCAAACGGCTGATCTGAATTCGATGCGCCTACTAACGACCTACGAGTTGATTTGAGTGGTATAAGAAAGGTTTGATGTAATCACCTATATGTGGTATAAAAGTTAAATAAGCTTTATTAGTCATACTATTATTGTTAATACTGTTATATTTCTAATTGCTCCTTAAGCATATTTAAATAATGGTGATCATTAACCTTGTGTATTTTTGTCCGTCAGCTGAATGTGTATATATGTGCGATCTCAGATAATATCGTTAAACCAGATGTGTTCACCCTTTTCTCTACACAGAACTCGGCGACCTTTGTCAACCGGATCAGTCAGTCTCATTTTACTCGTGTTATGCCTGAACCAAGCAATTTACGTGCACGGTCAATCCGTGATGGCGTTGCGTGCGTTCTGTTCGAAACCGAACACAATCTCTGTTGTGGGTGGAGCCCACTCACGTCTGATCAACGAGGGAGGTCGGGTCACACTGACCTGTTGTATGCCCGGGGTGAGCAACGGACATGATCACGAGCAACTGATTTGGGTTGGACCGAGTGGAGAGGAATTGGCCAATCATTTCTCAACTCCGCACACACGCACTGAGCATTTCGCCTATTCGGTGCCGGATTTCAGGTCACCAAATCACTTGGTATGTTCGGATGATGGGACTGGGTGGTTGTTTAATCCAGGGCTGTTTATGTGCAAAGATGGCACAGAAATACTTATACTAAGAGTTTCTCCCACAACCTAAAAGATGTTAGTTTCTACTAAGCCAAACACTATCAAGAGAAATCCTCTACAATCGGTGCCTTTGTATTGGTCAAATCATGTGCTAGTAGTCTTTTAGATTGCATGTTTCTTAGTTGGCAAACAGAATAAACATTTACTCTGTACATGACGCAATTCACCCTTTATCAAACCCTCCACTTTGCAGAAGCAGAAGCACAATTTACAAATATTGCATTATTCTTAGAAGCCATCAGGAGTGCACATCAACAAATACATGTGGGTTTTGAACCCGGGCTGAGAAGCAAAATTGTTCTGTTGTACAACGCTCTAATCAATGCGTCTGTCCGGGCAGCTTACCGCAAATCAACACTAGCCAGTATGGTGTTTATCCGTCACTACCGTTGAATAAAACGCACATTAGAAGAGTGAGTAGCGCTCTGATACGCGAATTTCTAATCGTATGAGCGGACAGAGTAGCCTCATCTACTAGCAATAGGTATGCATAGCTGATGATTTCTGGTAAAGATAAAACAGCACTGTGGTGCGCCAAAAGATTTGCAGAAGTAACCGGTTCGTAAAATGGTCAGGATGAACAAAAATGAATCACATCTCAGTCCCATTAGGATAACCTTCCACTTTGGACACATCATTTGTGGTAATCAATTCACTGAACCTAGCTCTTCATTGTTCCAGAATCCTTACGTAAAAGAAACTCATAGAAATAAACGTTTGAGAATGACTGGGACATTTTGTACAAACGACCGTGTAACCAATTCCCTTCCAGGATCCAAGTGTAGGAAACTGGCCATTGAACAAGAAATGTGTGAATGAAAGATGTTACAAAGTCTGGTTGGAAATTTATTTTAGTTCATCAAATGAGCGAGGTGAGTGTGATAATGTCATCCACTGTATGCGTGATTGCTCTTTTGAAAACAGGCCAAATGTGAGCGGTGTCTAATAGAGGGGGTAGCACAAGGTGCAACTGGCTTGCTGATAATTAACTACTATAAATAAATGCAATTACGTGAGACAAAACTGAGCAAAGGTTGGATAGGCGTGTGTCTTTACGTGAAGATGTGAATTTTTCTAGCGACAAAATAAAAAATGTGATTAGATAAGATTTTTTATTGGAGAGAGTTGAACATAAAAGATGAACGATGGTTACTTCCTAAGAGTGCCAATACCGATCATCTAATATTCGAATTGTGAACAGTGCCTGTCAGCTTTTCAATTCAATCCAGTTATATCCTGTTTTCTATACATTTTGTTCTGTTTACACATATATCAAATGGGAACCCACATCTGTCATGTAAACACTAATTCTACAACGTTCCAACTTGCGTCAGACTGAGTCAGTAACAGTTATTCTCGAATACTGAATCATGAGAACACTTGAGTGATCATAAACACCGCTTCCAGGCTTATACAGGAGTTTATAAAGTCAAGCCAGGCTTGGCTTAACCGCGTACCTGTTGTCACTGATGATTCCGTTCGGCCTATATCGACCTGTCGCGACTGACATCTCTGATGGAGTAATAATCTTTTCTTAGTCATGGGATTTCCACTCGGCTCGGATGGTATGACGCACAGATAAACATTTCCCATGAAATGACTTTATTCTTACTCGAAACGGCAACCTGTATCACTAATGGACAATTGATGTACAGAGCATTTTCATCCTCACAAACCGATTGGTGACCTTGAGGGAGAGTGAAATTCATATCAGGGCAGAATTCGACGCATGTGAACCACATACAGCAAGGCAGAAAATAACAATCTTCATAGTTAGACGGTATATCAGTTACACGCAAGTTCGACACGGCCGAATGATCAAACTTTTAACACGGAGAAGACGATGGTAGTGTGATTGAGTTCGTTTTGCTCACAGATGCCAGGTTTCGGTCTTCCAGTTGCAACCGACTGCGAATCTGAGAACCCGGAAGTTAATTTTAGCATATATTAGCCTAAATCGGTTTGTCGAGTCTGAAACATGATGAGTTATCAAGAGGTGTTGAGCAAGTTGTTTGAATGTTCGATGTTTTTGGGTAAGGGGGTGTTCTGTGATTGAGTGTTATTGGTGGATGCTGCGTGTGTGTGTGTGTGGGTTTGGGGAGGGGGATGGGCTAGAGAACCTTTGGTTCTGTAGCTCGGTCAATAAGCGTCTAACACAACAAGGGATGTGGTCCTGGCTCCGTGTACTTAGCTGCTCATCTTATCTGCCAATGCCAAATGCTCTGCATCCACATTCGAAATTGCACGTCACATGTGATTTAGAGGAGAGTAGCAGGTATCGCCCTGTTGGTGGAGTGGGGATGTGTGTTGTGTACACGACGAGTGAATGGGTACCATTATAAGCGTGTTTCACTCCTTCTTCCATCTGTCTTGGACGGTTAGGATGATCTTTAGACATCAAAAGCAAATTATCTTAGAGATGCCATGTACTGCTGGCTGTTCCTCCTGTCTCCGACTGAGGTTGTTGATAAAATTGCTCAGATAACCGTTCTCGGGAGCAATGGATTTGAGTTTGCCCAATTGTCGCTTGCAGTTGATCCCCGATACAACGGGACATACCAAATGCGCTGTTTAGGCTTCTTGACCGATTATAATCCGACCAGTGGAGAAAACTCTAAATTCTGCGAACTTTCATGGAACTTCTGCAAGTGTTTAAATACGTATTACTTAGGGGGAAAGGAAATCGAAAATCGAATCGATTGAAACCAAAATGTCAGATAACAGGCACACATTCAAAGGTTTTTTTCAGGAATCTATACCGCTCAAGCATTTTCTCCCAACAGGTGACTCAAAATGATGTCGCATGCAAGGGATAAGGAGATTAATAATTTTGTATTCAAGTGCAGCACCATAACTATAATCAGCCACCACCACCGCCACCAACAACAAAAACAACAACAACGACAATGACAACGACAACAACAACTCCACAACGACAACACGCAAGAAACATAAACTACGACAGGTCTAAGAACAAAGTGAACAAGGCGTTTCTATCGCACTCTGAGCTTAGAAACTGAATTGATTTTTTGAATCTAATGGGACTTCCAACCGAATAAATGACGTCGGCCTTGATTTTATCCAGATGCCACGCGATCTGGAAAGAAACTAGCAATTCTCCTCGTAAATCTAATCAAAGAAAGTGAACTGGCATCGGACTTCCGCTTACATTACGATCTCTCGACAATGGCAGATGGAATTGGATACGACCGGAAACGGTGACAAAGCCGTGTACATGACGGATGAGATGCCCGAGCATTTTTGACGTCTACTGCAAAGTGAGATGCGA